GAGTTAATAATATTTCCTTTATCGACGATATAAAGACTATCGCTGGAAAACATGACCGCGATGAAGATGGAAATGACATAACGGCTAGAAATAACCGATGGTCAAATATTCCGCAATTAATAATCATACCAATAATCATTAAGAATCATTGGATCAGTTTCCGAATCCGAATCGACGATAATAATGGTGCCGACATTTTATACAGCGACCCATTTGGAAATACTGATTTAATCAAAAACCTGAAAAAGAATCGTCAAACACTGAATAAAATTACTGAGGCATTGAATTTACTTTGCGGTAAAAATATTAAGCTTACGGAGAGTTCTAAATCATTTAATCAACAAGGTAATGATGGCTCGAATTGTGGACCTATTACTTTCGCGAATATTCATGATTACATGAAAATCGAAATTCCGAATTCAGATTTACAATCCGACGAGAAATATTCCATTCGTGAGTTTTGTAAAGCTGGAAGTTCATCTATTAAAAATAGAAGGGAGAATGACATAAAAATTTATACAGAAACGATAAAGAAATATGGTAAGCTTGAAACAAAAAATGATATGCAGCCTTCCATTAAGAAAAGTAGCTCGTCAATCAGTGAATACGAGAAGGAAGATAATACCCAATCAGTTATATCAGCTAAAGTTTACAGTCTAGAAAAGGTTCAAAAAATATTAGACGACCTGAACGCACAAAACTCATTCCCAACCAGTACGATGGCGAAACAAGATCTGAGAGACATACTAAACCATTTTATCACGTTGACCAAAAGTTCTCCGACTAAGAGCAAGAAGTCTCAGCAGCCAACAAAAGCATTTAGCGATTCTGTTGAAACTATTAAGCGTCTAATTATCACAGAATCAGATTTCAACCCAACGAAAGGTTTAAAAGATACTTTACACGGTTCTATGTATCAGATAGAATTGATTACATTGGTGGCTATTCGCACTAATAGAAGAGGAGATAATTTTGTGATAGCAAGCGAAGTTAAAGGATTTGATAAATTTGATGACTTAATTGTTATCTCTGAAAGCGATGCAATTTACATTCAAGTCAAGCATTCATCAACAAAAAAGGATTACGAGGAAGATAATTTTTTTTCTGATAAGCCAAAAAACACAAGAAGCAATCCTTATTTGTGGCTTTATTTCGATCACTGGCTGAAGATAAAAAATTCTGAATATTATCTTGAAAAATTGCGTGATAAATCTCATCAATTTATATTTTTTTCGAACTGTGGGGCAAATATTCGCGATATTTTGATAGACAAGGACAACGCAAAACTATCTCTTAATCATTTATTTGAAGATCTTGAAGGGCATAGCTTCAAATTTAATAAACTTTCAAAGAAATATAAACCAGTTAAGTGTATCTTCACTTACATACAGACTGTAGCTAACAAGCTACTAAAAGATTTAAATAATATCAAGAAAAAGAAAGAATTTGAAAAGTCTTTGGAACATGCGTACTGTACGTTCCTGAAAGTTAAAAATATCCTTATGGAAGCAAACAAGGACATTGATGAACAGAACAGTCGTCCTTATATCTTGATATCAGACATGGCTATAATCGCATCAGAACTTTCAAATGAACCTTTGCGAAGTAAGCTACGTGAAGAAATGACTGACGACGAGAAAAGTTATTATGATAAAAATAGCACTACAATAAAAACAATCATGAACAACATTATGTTAGAACAAATCCATCAGTTTTTCGACGAATTCATAGTGAAGATTAGTCAATCCGATACCGCACAATTAAGAAATTTGATCTACGAAGAGATCAGATCTGAGACTGACATAGCTAATCTAGAAGTCCATAGTATGGTACGAGGGAAAATGATTGACTGGCTAGCAGATAAAAGCTTGTGTGTGCTAATGCCAAATAAATTTAATGAATTCGTGACCGCTCCCGAGAATAATGCACGTCGCTTTTTTTTACTAAAGTACACTCAATCATTTATTTCTGAATATGATGAACTGGTCCAAGGTCACAAAATAAACACTTCAAAAATCGAAATCGAAATCGAAGCTTTAAAAGAATTCTTAATTAATACCAATCGTAACGATTTAGTCATGTTGCTTTATGGGGTGGGTGTTAAACTAAGAATATATTGGACTTTAAAGTCAATGGATAACTACTCTAAACTCGATGAATGGTCATTCTTGGAGATATCTTTTAAATCGATGATGCAAGGAATGCTTCCGAAAATTCTTCAAGGTGTCACTTTAAAATTTGTAATTATTGATTGTCGTTTACAAAACAAGTCACCATCTGAAGTGCTAGTATTACTAGAAAAGGTACTCCACGCAGCCTTTACTAATAACAAAAAAATTATTCTAATAATAAAAGCAGATGATCAAAAGGAATACCGCGACAAAATAAGTGACATGGATAGAAATTTAAAAGCAGATAGTGATTCAAAACCTCTTAACATAGTCAATGAAGAGTTAAAAGAATTATCATCTAACAAGTTGAAATTGCTATATGAAAATCATAGTGAAAAGTATATGTATTTGGCCGGTAAAAATTATCTTCTGTTCAAAATTCTTCAAGATGAATCTAGCAATTTATATGAATTTATTGCAGACGTAGATAATATTACTGCAGTAATGAAGGAACTAAATGAACAAAAATTTGAACATCCTCTTGCTAGTTGTCTACCTTACAAGGTCTATCTGAAAAATCAGATCATAAAGATGATACCAATCTACGCATTGCGAAATGTATTAGAAACGAAAGACTTATCACTCCTTATATTTGAATGTAAAGTGGATTTTGAGCGCTTGAAAAAATTACTCAATGGATGGTTTAACTTCGAAGAAAGAAAGCAGTTTACGAGTAAAATAAGAGAAGCTCGTCAGAATTCCGATATCATTTACATTTTGTCAAGGCAAACATGCGACATTGATTCAACACTACTATATACCCCTAAAAAGAAAAGGGTCATGATTTATGTGGGTGATTTTAATTCCTTAACCGGAGAACATAAGGACCTGAACCACATCGTCGTTAAACTGAAAAATCCAAATAAATTGAATAAACATCACAAATGGTCTATCAATAAGGAAGATAATACCGATACTATTAAACTAGACATAATTGGACGTATCCCAGTTTTTATTACAGATTACTCAAAAGAATTGCAATTGCCACCTGCAAGTGAATATATCAATCAGTGCGAGGAAGAGTACTCCCTTCCAACAATATTACCTAAAAATAATAATTTCGTAATTTTATCTGCGGATGCTGGTTTTGGCAAAACTGCCTTATTAATTAATAGAATAAATGAATGGGCTGGCGATGAAAATTTAGAGTCAATTTTATCATGGAAATTATACGTGCATTTACCCAGCCAAAGATTTGATGATTTTCAAGATCTCCAGACATTCGTTAAAAAATTAGTCAGGGATTTTACCCTAAAAGATTGGCAATTGAAGGCTCTATTAAATGACATGGAAAAAGAAGATCGCGTTGAATTATTGTTTGACGGATTAGATGAAATCAAAGACGAAAATAAAATTATCACTTTCAATAAATTGCTTACCGAAATTTCAGATACGACGGCAATTGTAATTACTACTAGACCATACGCTGCTTATAAAGTGGATAAGCCAATAAAGCGAAACCTTGGGCTCTACTTAACCCTTGCGAGGTACACAGATGAACAACGCGATAAATATATTAAAATGATGATTCCTAAAATTCTAAACGAAGGTGCTATGCATTCATTTATGCGTGATACGCGTATGACTGAAAAAAAAATAGCCAAAATAGCTAACAATTTATGTGAACATATTGATCAGGAGATCAGCAAAAAGGTACAGCATCTAATAGGTATACCTCTAGAATGTTATATATTTTGTGAAACGAAAGCCTCAAAGATTATAATTTACGGCACTGATTGCATAGACAACGGTGACGAAGCTCAGGAAGAAAAATCTTTAAAAAGTACATCAGGTCTCTATCGAGAATTTTTGTTCACGAAATTAAAAGTGTTTACTGAACGCTATCTAAATATATCATTAAACAACGATTTGAAAGATAGAAGCAGAATTTATAATGTCTCATCTAACTATATCATAATTTTAGCCGTTTTGGCGTTTAAGCAAGCCTTTCAGTTATCCTCGAACTTTGTACATTCAGCTCTTGCTCGAAGTTATTTCACTAAGGAAATGCTGAACAAACTAAAACATACCGGACTTGTCACTGTAAGCAAACATGCAGACGAAGGCTTTGCAGGTGGGGGCCGTTGCCTGAGTCTCAATTTTAATCACGCAACATATCAAGAATATTTAGCCGCTTTATATCTACTATATGGGCTAATTTTAGATGATGAACTCAGGAGTATTGTGCAATGCCAAATCAAGAATAATCGGTATGATCCTAGCTACGCCCTGATATTATCATTAGCAGCTCAATTAAGCATAGATGAAATTGAAGTTATCCCAGGTTTTGCTGCTGACAAGCATGCAATTTTATTTTGGAAAGCGTTATGTGATGAAGCAGACATCTTAGGAGCAGCAGAAAGTAAATTGCTGCAAAAGTGCTTATATGAATTTTCGGACAAAATGGTTACAACTTTAATAAAGATTGTAAATAGTACAAGTTGCTATAAAAAGATAAAGAAAGAACTCGGCAAACGTTCGAAAAAATACTTACGAGAATTGGAGGAATTTATTATAACAGATCAAAGTAACATCCCTCAACCGATGATCTTTGATGATTCTAAATCTGAAACTGAAAGCTTATCGACAGTCGAAGATAGTGATATAAAAAAATTAAAAAATAAAAATGTAGTAATTGAATTTACAAATGACTTACAGCAATCCAAGGGATCTGATTATGTTGCAAGAGCATTTGAAATAATTATCAAAGAAAAAATTAAGTCAGACCATGATAAAGTAAAATCTGAGGACTATTGGGGAATGGATGGAGGTTTTGAAGCAATGGCATTACTCGGCGACAGTTTTAATAATTGCCATGCTCAGTATTTCATAAAAAGAGTCGATAACTACCCGGAGCATCGCTGGAGCAAAGCTTGTAACGCTATCGAATCATTACTAAAATACTGCACAAAACCAAACGTAAAAGCTGAATGCGTCAACTTGATAGAATGTTTAGCAAAGCATGCGTTAGAGTATGATAGTCCTGAGCGTTTAATCCCTCTAATAAAAGCTGTACGTTCAGAAATTTTTTTATCTTTTTCTCAATTAGAAGATCAAATTCGGGAACTGCCTGAATATTCTATACCTAATGAAATCCATGGTAGGCCCTATCAACAATTTATACTAAAATTTACTTTTGCATTGTGGATATCGATAAAGATGACCTACGCGGTAATAAAGTCAAAAGATACTCACGAAATTATCATTAAGGAAGAAAAAGTCAAAAAAATAAAAATAGATCGGGATAAAGTGCATGTATGGAATCTTATAGAAAATGTCATTGATGAGTTAGCAAATCAACCCAACGAAGACAGTAAAGCAAGGCTGTTGATTAATACCAAAAGATGGAAATGTTTGATTTATGAAGGCCTCGTTGAAATGGCGATAAAGAATAAAGACTATTCCGCACTACATGATGAGACGTTCATTGACATTGTGGTAAAAGACTATCATATAGTAGCTAATATTTTGAAAATTTATCATGAGCACAAGTTGATTGATGGTGAAGTAGCTGCAAGATTATCAACATTTATCGTCATTATAAATGATATTAAAAGTATACAATGGCCAATTAAAGGCGGCATTGAAGCAATCGCTTACGTTGGAAAACATTTCAGTCCAGCGTTTGCAAATTTCTTAACATGTAGAGCAAAAAGTTATCCAAATAATAAACGTAAAGCAGCTGCTTCTCTCAGAAATCTTAAACAAATATTACAAAATTGTAATGACGACGAGACCTACAGAGATGCAGTAAATGCTTATAATTGGTGCCGACAGCAGAATATCTTTAAAGATCATAATTTAGAACCGATACAGTCTGAGAGTTTAAATTAGTCCGATTAACACGATTAAATGTTGAAGAACTGAATGAGATGCTATTAAATCTGATATTTACTATTTTACGAAGCGAATATCGATATAGAAGCTAGAGTGTTTTTTCAAAATTATCTACTCGGTAAATTTTATGATATCAAAGTAAACTTCCTAAGTACTCCGGGTATGTAGACTACTAAACCTTAAGGATAGAAATAATATCCATTGATGTTACTATATGCAGCATTACCGTTTCTAAATGCGACTGAATTGCTAATTCTTTTGCATTTTTACCCACTATATTGCTTATTTGCACATCTTATCTGTAATTTTACTAACTGATACACCTTGAACGACAGTAAAACTAATCATGTAGCGGCTGTTTCTATTATCATACTGTCCATTTATATTTTCCAATTTTTATGCATTTCTGCTGGCATGTATTAATTAATTAGGAAATGTACAAGCTTAGCAAAAGCGTAATATCTTATTGCAATGAAGATCAATCTTTTAAACCTTTCCGTGAGATTTTTTATTGTTTTATGCATCGTAGATTCAAAAGTAGCTAATTTTAATCTGATGACTGTAAATTCCATTTAATATCTTAATATATTTTTAACTCGATTACTTTATACGGATTATGATGCAGCAATATTTTATAGAGTAGTTTTTGTCAAACATTATGCATTATAAAGATTGTAATTTAACCGATATACTCGTACTAAGTATAATATTTGCGCTTTAATAATGATGAATTTGTAGCTGATTTCTTTCATAATAAGCAGTAGGAATTATATTGCTTCGCCTTAAGGTATAGTGTAAACCCAAACATTTGATTTGAATTCTAATTAAAGGATAATGGTCAGTCTTAATGTTTTTTTAATTATGTGCTATCGCATACGGTAAACAGACGTAATTTTTAGTTTTAATTATCATTACTATTAATTTTATAAAGATAGAAATCGAAGCTAGATTTATCGTAACGTATGTAATTTATAGCTAGTCTAATTTAGAATACTGTAGGAGATCGGTTGATACTCTAACGATCTGCTTGGTGCAACCTACAAAGGTGTTGTAGTTTAGTTTTTGAATAATTCTGTTAGTAAGTTAGCAAGACCAGAGGTACATGAAGGAAATCATGAGTAATCCTCATTTTTTATTTTTCATTATTTGATAGGTTAAGGCAGTATTTCGGCCCTTCCTTGCTTTTTTTAAGTGCTTCTTGCAATTTTTCTGTTAAAGCTATAATAAACTGCTGCTTTCTCCTAAACTTAGCTTTAATTATAATTTGAAGTGGTCTTTAATTTAATAATTACTTGCTCATTTTTACTTTACATTAGTATTCTGTAATAAGTTACTCATACATATACAGTGACATAAAATGTGATATAATATACGAGCGTATGTATCTATAGTGCAACGTTTTCAAAAAATATTGTACTATAGCAAATTAAATGTTAATCGCTATTATCACATTGCTACAACTTTAATTATAGAAGTACCAGGATCAGCTGATACTGTAACTGAGAGTTTCTAAGAAAAAGGTGTAAATTTAACCAGTTGTTATCTACTTCAAAGATA